CCCAACGGAGTCCCCCCTCTCCCCGGGAACCCCCTTTGGGAAACCCTACTCCGCGATTCCGCCCCCAACCCCACGAGCCCCCCTTTCCCCGGGAATCCTTCCCCCTTGGGAATCCTCGTCTCGCGGTTCTTCCCAACCCCACGAACCCCCCGTTCCCCGGGAATCTCCCCCCTCAGCGAGCCCTCCCCCAAAACCCCCGCTTCTTCTGCCGCATCTTCTGGAACAAACAAGATAAATCGAGAGTTATTAGTATGGTTTGCAATGGGTGACAAAACTGGCTTTTAGAATTCTCTATTAAACCCCTCATTATAATTAGAAGTTTTATTGTTACCAGCAATTAAATTAGTTGGACCCATGTATGCTAAAAGGAACTATGTGCTTAGGATTTGCCTGCAACATAGTTGCTTCTAGCCTAAATGTGTCCAGTTCTCTCTCGCCAAGATTTTAGTCGATGCATTATGCCATAATGAATGAAACGTTATTTTTCCAAATTTTGATTTGAATTGCAGTTTCATACTCTCTTTGGACTTGCAACATCATTGGATCACATTTTGCAATGAGAAACCACTATCTCTAGCTCTCATAAAAGCACATATCTGAATAGGGAAACCAATGGCATGTGTGTTATTTCTAAAATTGGCAAGAAATAATGGTTCCTTATTACAAAGTGTAATCCAATTACAAGTTTGCATTCAGTTGTAGTAATTGAACTGCATTACGCAAAAAGGAATTCATATTCTTGGCTCTTCAAAATTCACCTACTTATGTTGGAAAAATGAAACTCGTGTTTTTTCTACGGTGAACCGAAAAAGATAATTTATTTTTGCGTAATGCAGTTTAATTTCTGCCAGTTAAATGCAATATTATTTGACTGAATTAAATGAGAACCATGGGCAGAACTGGAAGGAATAGGCTTTTTATATCCCTTTAAACAGCTAAGGGCATTCAAGTTAAGGTGATTCGACAGACGCCATTTTTTGTGTCAGAGCGACGTGCGACATCGATTCATTTCATAATTTCAGCTACTCGTCATTTCTTGCGAATTTTAAAATCGCACTTCTCTTTTCATGAGACTGAAGAATTCATGTACCAAATTTCGCAAAGAAATTCAACTTCACAAAGGCGCGGTATTTTTAGAGGAAAAATATCGCATTCGAGTGCAGTTTCGATGTCAGTATCGAATGCCATATTTTTCCTCGAAAATAACCACGCCTTTATTACGTTGAATTTGTTTGTCAAATTTGGAATATGAATTCTTCAGACTCATGACAACAGAAGAACGATCTCAAAATTCGAAAAAAATGACAGGTAGCTGAAATTTCAGAACGAATCGATTCGATATATCGCACGTCGTTCTGGCACAAAAAATTGCGTCCGTTGAATCATCTTAAGGATACGACACGTTTAAAATATAATTATTTTTATGGATTTTTTGAATGAAATTAATTAAAAATTGATTGGATAAAATTTCAATCATACTAGTAATTACTACTTTCTAAATTATATGGAAATAATACACATTTAGGAGGGCACTACTTCCGTCCTCAATGACTCAACATGCGGAGCATCCATCCTCCTCGTTTCTTTCCGACCTGAAACAGACTAAGAAGAAAAAAAAAGGCTTGATTAGTTCTTAACCTAAACCTAACTTGAAAATAAAAACTTTTATAACAAATTAGTTTTGATTTTTGCTTAATATATTTGTCAAAACTCATACCTCCTCTTTTCTAATGCTAAATAATTCATTCCGTGCAAATATTTGGAACTTAAGGTGATTCGATGGACGCCAGATTTTGTGTCGCATCGATTAGTTCCATTTTTTCAGCCACTCGTCATTTTTCTTTGAATTTTGAGATCGCAATTCTGTTGTCAGGAGACTGAAGAATTCCCTCACCAATTTTGACAAACAAATTCAACGTAACAAAGGCGTGGTTTTTTTAGAGAGAAAATATCGCACTCGAGTGCAGTTTCGATATCAGTATCGAGTGCGATATTTTTCCTCTAAAAAAACCACGGCTTTATTAAGCAAAATTTGTTTGTCAAAATTGTTAAGTGAATTCCTCAGTCTCCTCACAACATTATTGCGATCTCAAACTTCGAGAAAAATAATGGGTACCTGAAAAAATGGAACCAGTCGATGCGATATCGCATGTTGCTCTGACACATAATATGGCGTCCATCGAATCCCCTTAGTGCAATTGTTTTTACGCTATTTGTTCTCCTGAGCTATTTATTCTGTGAGCAAATAATTAGTCATTTCAAGTGGCTTTTTGAACGCAGCATAATTGGACTGCATTTTGCAATTTGGAACTATAAAGTCTGGCCCAGTTTAAAAAGGACGTATGTGCCATTAGTTTCCCTATGCACGTAAGTGTTTTTTCAGATAAGCCAGAATTTATAATTCCCAATTGCAAAATGCAGTCCAATTATAATTGTTCTGATTTTAAATACTTAAAATATCAAACATCATTAATGAGCGATTCAATGATCAAAATGTGACTTTATGATACGTCTAAATTGGACCATGCTGTACAATAGAGGAATTGATAATTTGTCTTATTTCAGAAATATTTCCAGTTTGCAGATATGTGCTTTTGTGAGGGAAAAAGAATTAGTAGTTTCAATCGGATGTATTTCTGTTAAACGGAACTATGTGCATTATGACGTGAGCCCTGTTATGCATGTATTCTTATGGGTCTCAGGGCTCATGTCTTAAGGCACATAGTTCCGTTTGACAGAAATACGTCCAATTACAATATGTACTTCAACTGCAAATGGTGTAAAGTGGCAGATACACTTGCAAGTTAGAAGCGCTTGTTAAAAGTGAAACATCAATAGGAAACCGGGATTTCAATCGCTCGACGTCTAGCTATCAAAATCTTCCTTTCCTATTGGTGTTTCACTTTCAACAAGCGCTTCTAATTCGCAGGTGTATCTGGGTCTTCAGAGGAGACGCTAATGAAAGATGGAAGAAAGAATAAATAAAGAAAGAGAAATTAATAAGAGGTAGTTACGAAATAAAATGAAGAGAGCAAAATAAAATTAGGTATGAACTGCTTTCACTGCACCCGTTTCTTGCCAATCTGAAAGAAGAAGAAAAAATGGAAAATTAGTTTGAGGTATTTAGAATATATAAAAGAAAAAAAAGAAAAATGAAAGAAGATGAAACAACTTTCACTGTGTTTGTTTCTCATCGATGTAAAAAGAAATAGATAAAGAAAAAACACGATAAAGATTTGAAAAAAACACGGAGAGAAAAAGTAATATGATGTTTGAAAAAACACTACCAATTCTGTAAAGCAATTTTATCCGCGATCAGTATGCTGAAAGTAGCTTGTGCTCAGACCCTGTCTCTTGTCAATTTAGAAGAGATAAATACACGAGAAAGGAGAAAGAAAAATTAGCATGAAGCCTTTGAAGAGGAAAAATAAAAATTTAGTCCCATAAAATAAGTTGATTTCATTCAAAAAGCAAAATGCCAGAAACTTCATTACTGTTTTGCCGATCTGGAAAAATAGAAAAATGAAGAAAGCAGAGCTGCTAGAGGTCTAATGTAAATTAAAATTATAGCCTGTGCGCAATTTTTTTTTTACTAAAACTTTAACGAGAGTTCGAATATCGATAGCTGAAGGTTGAAAATACTTATCTTTGACTGTGACGTCGCAAATCTCTGCTCTTGTTTTATTATTTTCAACCAGAACTAATCAGCAGTTTTTCATTAATATGAGTTTTTCACTCATTCTATAATATTTACGGAGAATTTGAGGGAGATTCCTCGGTTACTTTTCTTTTCTGAAAGTGGAACACCATCGGAAATTTTCAAACGTGGAGGTGTAGTTGCGCATTTTTTAATTAATCAATGTATTTGGATGCGATTCTGACCTGAAACAAACAAAAATAAAAAAAAAGAATTATTAAAAGTTTAAAAGCATGAAAATAATTGGGAAATTAATGAATAATTGAATTGATTATTAAATAATTGGGAAATTAATGAATAATTGAATTGATTATTAATCAATTTTAACCTAGCAAATATGACCTTCTTCTAAAAATTCTGGGATTTTGATTTCGTTTATTTTTTTGACTAGTTGCTAAAAATTACTCAAGATTCAAGAATGCAAAAAAATGACCTAAAAGAAAAATAGCAATAATATAAGTCAAAAAGCATGAGAGCGATTGGACAATTATTAATAAATACTTTGATTGATTACTTTTAAACTTTAACCAAACGAATGTTCACTTCTATTAAAAAATCTGCGATTTTGAGGGTTGATTCTCGTTTATTTTTTCAGAATAAGCGCTGAAAATTACTCAAGAATTCAAGAAAGTTTTTTCAATCTAAGGGTTTTTTTGGTTGTGTAGATCTGTGCAAATTGCAGGAAAACAATGAAGGTGACTCGATGAACGCCATATTTTGTGTCAGAACGGCATGCGATTTATCGCATCAATTGGCTCCATTTTTTCAGCTACTCGTCATTTTTCTATATTTTGAGATTGCAATTCTGTCGTCAGGAGACTAAAGCACTCACTTACCAATTTTAATAAAACAATTCAACGTAATAAAGGCGTGGTTTTTTTTGAGAGAAAACATCGCATTCGATACTGATATCGAGACTGCTTTCGAATGCGATATTTCCTCTCTAAAAAAAAAAAAACACGCCTTTATTACGTTGAATTTCTTTGTTAAAATTGGTAAGTGAGTACTTTAGTCTCCTGACAACAGAATTGCGATCTCAAAATTGTAGAAAAATGACAAATGCCTAAAAAAATGGAACTAATTGATGCGATATATCGCATGCCGTTCTGACACAAAATATGGCGTCCATCGAATCACCTTAATATACTGTTGATCCATAGAATTCGAATGAATTGGAATAAAATATTATTACTTTCCTTTTTCCTTTTTTATTTATTTACCTTCTTTATTCCTTTAACTTTTTTCTGAGAATACTAGTACCTAAAACGATGATTAATTAAAAATTTAAACCTGGTACGGCCGTAGTAATGATAAAATTATAGAATATACCTAAAATTTATAATTTATCAGCGAAAAAATTTCAATTTGAAAAATGACTGCTGTGTTTAACTTTGAAAAATAAAAATTCAAAATTTGAAAATTCAAAATTTGAAAATTGAAAATTTGAAAATTCAAAATTTGAAATTTGTAAATTAAAAATTTAAATTTTAAATGTTTAAATTGGAAAAATAAAAATTTGAAAAATAAAAAATTTAAATTTAAAACTATTAAAATTTCAAGTGTATAAAAATAGAAGGTATGAGTAAGCTATAAGGTTCACTTACATATTAGGAGCTTAATCCAAATTGAGTTACTACAAATGTTGGAATTCCAGTTGCTGACTGCAGTGTACCACTAAATCACTATCACTGAAACACTGAAACACTGAAACACTGAAGCACTGAATTACTGAAGCACTGAAGCACTGAAGCACTGAAGCACTGAACCACTAAACAACTAAGCCACTGAACCACTGACCCTCTGACCTGTTCACCCATGGAACTTCTTCGCTTTCTAAACTCACACTGATTGAACTTTAGGGAGGGGGTCTCCCTTTTGTAAGCTCGGTTGGTCTGTAGCCACCTCCAAAATTCCCACCCCCCTCTGCTGACCCCTCCTGCAATTAGGATGTAATTTAGAAACTATTTCCTCGTTGTCCTGTGGCGAGGAACCCGAATTTTACGGAACAAAAGGACAAAAATGCATCCCTTTTGTTCCATTGAGGTGGAGGGACCTCTTTATTGTAAACAGGATTTGAAAATCCCTGTTCTGTTCTTCGAGAAACTTCGAGACTACAAAACAATGAAAAAGGATTAAATTGTGTAAACAATAAGAAACAGGGAAAAGAACGCTGTGAGGATATATTTTTTGGGGGAAGGGAGGGGTAAAAGTCCGTAAAAGTTCAAAACAAAAGAAAAATACTTAACCCAAAACCCTTTGGGGAGGGCGAAAAAGAGAGGAAATTTCTAAATGAACTGTTCCAGAATGTTCCAGAAACAAGAGCGTCTATAATGTGATGATAATGGGGAAAAATTAATCAACGCAGAACTTTATTTTGCGTTCAAAACAACGTAGTTTTTTCCCCGTTCTCAAAATTGTCACGGAATCACCATGCGTGCACTGAAATAAGAAGCAACTTGCAACAGTTTTTGCCCTAAACTGGGAGGTGTGACTTGCAAAAAAGGTTAGGTAATTCCAATTGGACTTCATTTTGCAATTCGGAACTACAATATTTGTCTCATTTGTAAAAACTTTTGTGCATAGGGAAACTAATGGCACATTCGTTGTTCCTAAACTAAGCCAGAAATCGTAGTTCTCAATCGAAAAATGCAGTCCAATCGACCTTTGATTCGATGCAAGCTAATTTTTTGCTTGGATATTCCGTAAGTGGCAAAAAAGTTAGGTAAATCCAATTATTGGACCTATTCATTTTGCAATTTGGAACAACAATTTCTTCATCATCCGCAAAAACACTTTTGTGCATAGGGAATCTAATGGCACATACGTTGTTCCTGTACGGAGCCAGAAATTTTAGTTCCTAATTGCAGAGTGCAGTCCAATTCATCGCCCCGCATTGTGTCTCCGATGCAAGCTAATTTTTTGCTTGGATATTCCAAAACAAAAAAGGAAGATCAGGAAAGGAGGAAAAGGGAAGGAGGAAAAGGGAAGGAGGAGAGAGGGAGAATAGTCGCAAAAAAGTCAGGTAAATCCAATTGGACTCCATTTTGCAATTTGGAACAACAATTTCTGCATCATCCGTAAAAACACTTTTGTGCATAGGGAAACTAATTATGTCATATAAATGTCATATAAATGTCACTTTAATTATCGATCACTTTACCTGAACTCGAAAATTTCCGTTGTTATCTCAGGGAGAAGAATCGGTGACTTGAGAGACAAAATCGTTATTTAGATCTTATGTATTGCAATTAAAAATATTACCGCATCTTCTTTCATTCGTTTTTTTTTTAAAATACTAATATTGCACTCAGTGTTCGAAACTCACAGGCGCCAACGCGCCAAATGCGCCTAAAAATCGGCCATGGCACCAAAAAATGAAGGTACTGCGCCAACGTGGCCCCTAAAAATTGCTCCCTAAAAATCTTGATTTTCATAAGAAGTCACATAAAGAAAGAAAACAAATCTATTTGAATTAAAAAGAAACTCTATTTCTATTCTTCACAATTTCATTCTTATAGTGCTTTTGTCTTACCCAAGTTACAGCTACTTACTAGTTCTGTTGCGAAAACATCTTGCGTCTAACTAAATAAATATGCGTAAAATATAGGCAAAAAGTCAATTTGGCCCCTAAAAAATCTTCAATGGCGCCTAAAAATCGGGCTTGATGCGCGACATGGCTCCTGAAACTCAAAAGTGAGTTTCGAACACTGATTGCACTTCAATCGCAAACAAGTAATTGTTTGATCAAAAGGGTCAAATTTGAAACACACAATTAAACGCAGAAAACAAGAAGCGGCAGCTGAATACTTCACTGTAAAGCTGTATCCGCCCTCACTTTTGTTCTCTTCTCACGATTGTGCGCCTTCAATTTGAGCGCGATACCAGCCGCGCGCACTGGCGTTAAAATAGTGGTATCATACAAAATCCTCATCTCTCGCGGAAAACGGAGTATACCTCACAGTGGCGTGGCGTGAATTGCGATTTATCGATTGTTATGCCATCTAAACCTATGGTAAAGAATCGATTATTAAGGTTTTCGCTGCGAACACTCTGTTTATCGATCCTTTTACGTAGATTTAAATGGCATAACAATCGATATATCGCAATTCATGCCACGCCACTGCCCGTTGCGATGAAAAGGAAGATTGTAATGTTACGTTTTCCCTACTTTTGAATATTGTCGTTCTCAATTAATACGTATAAATATCCATTTCAAGTTACGCTAATAATCTTCATCGATATCCATCATTTTAAAGAGCTTCACAGAGACTATAAGTTTCGTTCAAGAATAGATTTATGTAATTACATTATCATTTTTTCGAAATAGAGGTCTATTTCTGACGACATTATTTGCACTATCTGCACTGCGAACTAACTTTTGTCTATCTAATCCCAGATTTCTAATCGATCCAAAGGTAATTAATACTTCCTAATAACCCCGCAGGTATGCTTCTAATATCCCTCGCTAAATAAACGTCATTCTGGCATGAGGTACCATAATTTCTGACCTATCCGTAAAAGCACTTATTTGCATAAAGAAACTAATGGCACATACGTTGTTTCTTAAATGAGCCGATAATTCTAGTTCCTTATTGCAAAATGTAGCCCAAATATCAGTTCTCTCTCCGTCACAGCTTCGAACAGTCACTTATCTCAGTCATTTTCTACTTATTCTACATTATTCGTTTGCCTGGATGGTCTCCACTGAGAAAAAACTATGGTTTATAAACCTATTAGAGGTAAATATGGAACATCTATAATAGTCGTAAATAAACTAATGATTCTCGGTCTGTGAACCATACTAAGGTCTCTGTACCTAATTAAGGTACCCCGTACCATAACTAAGGTATATGTGCTATTATTATATGTAGAGGTACTACTATTAGTGGTGTTCCATATTTACCTCTAATAGGTTTATAAGCCATAGTTTTTTCTCAGTGTCTGACACTTAGAACTGGCTATTAACTATGGGTTAGAACAACAAATCACTGGGCACAAAAACTTTATTATTACAAATTATCTCTTGAGTAAGTCAGTTAAAACTAAAAAGTTGAGTAAAGTCGATGAACTAGTCGCTATAGGCCACGCGGCGAGGAGCCCAGGACGGCTGTAACGGTGCGTAGTGGGTACGGCGCGTCGAAACCCGCGTATAAAAATGGTCATAACTTCTATACCAATCGTTTCCCCGCCAAGTATGACACATCGATAGATGCGGAATCAGACGAGAAATCGATTGGACATATTTTTTTTAAAATCAAAAAATGGCTTTTTTGGGTATTTACGAACACGTAAAATTCGACGGATCAAAAATCCAAAAAAGAGGTGAATCATAAGTTTAATGTTACGTTCTATCCAAACACCATACATAAAACAAAAGTTCATAATTTTTAAAGAATTTTAGCGCAAACCGCAGATCAATAACTTAATTGGTTCAAAAGTTATCGGATTTTTAAGGTTGCAACTTGGCAACGCCGCCAAAGCGCGGGAAAATTTTTTTTGGACTTGAAATTATCAGAAACGTGGCCCTTTGTTATGGTGAAATAGCATACTAAAAAATGGAAGCAATCGGAGCTGCGGGGGATTTGGCCGTTTTTGCATAAGGCTCTTTAATTCGGCAGTTTAATTTTTTCCACTAAAACGGTTGTTAGGATTTTTGGGCAAATTCTAGTCAATTTTCTGCACAGTACGAAACGAATTCTTCAGAATTTTCAAAGGAATCTAAAGAACCGCTTGCATATAAATAATTAAATTGCCTAGTTGCATTTGGCAATAGCTGACATGGCTAACTGAGAAAAAGCTATGGATTATAAACCAATTAGTGGTTCATATGGAACACCATTAACAGTTATATATGAACTAATGATTATAGGTCTGTGAACCATACTGTGGTAGCTAGTACCATAGAATGGTATAGATACCATAGCTAAGGTGTATGTACTATTAGTATATGTTGCCTTCACCACTATTAGTGGTAGACTCTTCTCCGTGCTTGGTTCATTTCTGCTAAAAGCGGTCAAAACAATCTTTTTCGCAAATTCAAGTTACTTTTGCTGCCATTATGATAGATTTCGTATGGTCTTCCATATAAAACCTTCACAGTTCACAAAGACACGGACCCGAAATTCAACCCTTGCAACCCAGGCGCGCTTTTCAGCCTTTAATGAACGCAACAAAAAACGCCCCGAACAAAAAATGAAAAGTGACTCGACAAAACAAATAAACGCAAACAAACGCTGATTTTGCGCCGACCCAATTCCGCCGCAATGGCTCGCCTTTCGCCTTTTTGCCTTGCACAATGCATTGTTTCAACCGAAACACTTTCTACGCGATTCCCGTCGAATTCGAAAACAAAACCCTGCTATCCGTCTGCCGTCCACCACCTTGTTGATTGTTGAATCGATTTAGCATTAGATCAATCGATATATGCCTATCTTAGCCATGTAATCTATCGATTAGTTCGATAAAAATCCAACAGTTGACCCGCAGTTTATAAAAACTGCACCTTCAAACAAGCATGTAATAATAGGTTGCCGTATACTGACCTCTTTAGCAAGAACAACGTATCTCTGTTGAAAATCTTATGCAGATAGGTGATTTTTTCTTAACACAGCAGTGTGTAACAGGTAGACGTGAATTTGTCAGTCCTTTCATGTAAGGGACAGTTGACTTCCCCGAAAACAATTCCTGATGATATATCGGTGAGCTCTGCGAACAGAGATGTTTTAAGAGGCATAATGAATGGTGTGTGACAGCACAAGGTTGCCGGCAGGTATTTTTTGTCGGTAAAATAGTGTTAACACAGATGCGGATTGTGTCTCAATGAGCTTTATTGT